TCTGGTTACAACTGTTGTGTCTGTGGACGTGGGGAGCAAGTGCATATTGCTGTCGACCACAAATCATTAGGTTTCGTCCAAAATGTGATGTTTCCTGTGCCTTCTTGTATCCAGCATTCAACGCTGAGGAGGGTTGTGTTGCAGTGGTGTGTGGAGGTGTAAAAAAGGCTTGGCCCTGCTGTGGAGCAGGCAGATGCAATATATACTGCTGCAATTGCGACACTGGCTGTTATGGTGGAAATCCCATAGGAGATTTTTATAAAAAATATCTGTTTTTCCTGGACGTATTACCTCCACTTAATTAATTAACTGAAATAAAAACGTCATAGTAATGGGGAGACTGTTTATCAAAAGGGGGAAAATCTGGATTTGAATTGGTTATATGCCTACTATACAACAGCTTGTGATAATCTCCATATCATATTTCTTCCGTACCGAAATCTCTTGGCTTATGTAGTTCTATAATGTATGTAACAGGCAGACGTAATCGTCGCAGACCCCATAAAGTAAACATATTCTTGATCAAGGCGACGAGCTGAGTCGATATAGCCCTGTCAGTCTGTCCGTCCGTATGAGCAAACCGATCTCAGAAGGTATAAGAGTTAGACAGCAGAAATTTGGCATGCATACTCGTGTATACCATTTGCAGTACAAGTTTATCTTATTTTAACTCATCATTTTAAAAACGCGTTTCAAGTACTAGAGACTTGTGCTTTAGAATACCACACACCTTTTAGCCATATGATCATGCTCTGCAAGTTTCATAAAGATAGTCCTACTACAAGAGATATTATCAACTAATAAATTCTCATAATATTGCCCACACTGCAGCGCAGCCCAAGCAGTCGCTGCTTACTGCGCAGTCAGCAGAACGCGTGATTATACGTGCGTGTGGATGCGTGTGTATGCATGTCTGCATAAAAGAAGTGCAGAATGAGTAGAGTATCAGCTTAGAGGGTTCAGGGTTCAACTGGAGCATTCTTACTTGTTTTCTATCGTCTTGCGCTGTTGGATCTCTTATGTAAATCCTTAACAATCTTCAAATATTACACTCAAATCAATCGTTATTGAATTTAACTTTACTTGACAAGTCCGAATGTTTTCTGATTGATATAACATTTAATTTATACATACATATATATAAAGCTAAGTAGGACCATATAAGACCCCCTATTCGTAGTCGCAATTAAAACTTATAACTTCTCAGTCGCAGTTCATCCGTCCGTCATTCCCATTCGTCTCACTTCTATAACAAACTCGATTATAATTTTGTCATATTTCCGATTAGGTTTATATTGAAAGACCTGGCGTTTCGACGTCATACCGAGCTGGAATACTAACTATGTCTATATCGCACCTGACGTTGATCTTAATACAACTGTTGTCTATGTGGACGTGGAGTATAAATGCAAAATGCTGTGAATCAACAAGGATTTATTTTAAAACTAGATGTGGAGTTAGATGCAGCCACGTGCACCTAGGTGATGTTGATCCCATAAAGGGCTCATGTGTTGCAACTGTGTGTGGAGGTACAAATAGGCCTACGCCCTGCTGTGGAGTTGAAAAGTGCAATATTTTTTGCTGCAACTGTGATCGGGGCTGTTGGGCTGGAAACCATGTAAAAGACTTTTTTACGAAAAATTGGTTATTCGCGGTAAAATATAGTTAGTAAATAAAATGAAATAAAAACTTTTGTATTCACTCTTATTCTTCAGAATTCGGGTTTTCTATACCCAGACACTTGAATATTATTATACCATGAGCCCATTGAGAATGGAAAATCTGGGTTTTTGTGAAAAAGTATGTAACGGGAAGAAGGAAGCATCGAAGACCCCATAAAGTATATATATTCTTGATCGGGGTGACGAGCTGAGTCGATATAGCCCTGCCCGTCTGTCCGTCCATCCGTTCATCCGTCCGTATAAGTGCGTCGATCTCTGAAGTTATAAGAGCTAGAGAGCTAGAGAGAGTTAGAAGAGAGAAAAATTTGGCATGCATACTCGTGTGTACTATACGCAGTACAAGTTCATCATCTTTTTTCGATAGCTCATCCGATATGTTTTTTATCGAGAATAATCGAAAAATTGATTTTGTTTTTTCAGCCTAATTTAAACACTTTTAGACCTACAGACTTAAGATTTACTGTGTATATACAGTTGATACGAAGATTTTGTAACTTACAGCTTTTGGATAGCACGCCCCCTTTGCCCAAAATTTGTAAAAGACGTATTACTAAAGACTTGTGGGTGTGGATGCATGTGTATGTATATATGCATGTGTTTTTGTAAGGCTGATGTCAGAGTGCCCACGATAAGCGTAAGGCTTTGCGTTCGCCTCTTACATATACTTATCGCTGAGGGTCATGAGCTTATGTGCGAAAACGCAAATTTGAGATGGGAAAGTTTTTAACGGTTAGAGATATTATCCAAATTTTTTCCCGTAACGAAATCTGATTACTTAAGTGATTCCACAATTTATGTTTAATACCAGAACTTCTGTTATTTTGCATCGATTTGCGCTGATAGTAAATCTTTAACTATCGAGGCTTTTCCTTGTAATAATCCAATATTGAAATCAAATCAATCAGCTTTCAATTTAACTTTACTAGACAGTCCGTGCTTTCTGATACATAACATTGAATTTTTAAAGTTTTATATATATAAAGCTACGTGGGATCATACAAGTTTTTCTATTCGTACTCGAGGTTCGAAATTATAATTTCCCAGTGGCAGGTTATTCGTTCCGTTATTCCCATTCGTCTCACTTCTATAACAAACTCGATTATAACTTTGTCTCATTTCAGACTAGGTTTAAATTGAACGACCTGGCGTTTTGAAGTCATATCGAGCTGGAATACTAACGATGTCTATATCGTATCTGTCGTTAATCTTGTTTCAACTGTTGTCTCTGTGGACGTGGAGTTCAAATGCAGCATGTTGCCCTGCAACGGACCTTTCTTTTCGTATGACCTGTGACGATAAATGTAAAACCATATATCCTGCAATTGAAAGGGCTGGAGACTGCGATAAAGATGTGTGTGGAAAAGTACCGCCTCCGCCCTGCTGTATAGATCGCAGATGTAGGCAATGCTCTGCACGCATATGTGGAGGTTTAAACAAGGCTACCCCCTGTTGTGCAACTGGACACTGCAATATTTTCTGCTGCAATTGTTTTGGGGATTGTTGGCCTGGAGATCCATATAAGGATTTTTATAAGGTACACGCTGATCGGCTAATCCGCAATTAACAAATAAATTTAAATAAAAACAAATAAGAAAGCTGTAGTCGAGACTGCTCGACTACGATATGCCCTAAACCATTCGAGCAATTGATATTTTAATAATTCTTTGCGTCTTTCTGCTTACACAAAAAATATACACACTCGTAGACACATATAAGCACGCACGCATAAACACGCATTGAGTGCTGCGTGGGCTTACTATGGGAATTTAATTGTTTAATAACGTTTCTTGTAGATGTACTTTCTTCATGAAACTTTTAGATTGTGATTGTGGTGGGGGCGAATTATAAAAAAATCTAAATTCTATAAAGTACATATGAATTTACATATAAAATTTGGCGACTCTAGCTCTAAAGATGTTGGCTATATAATTAAATCGCTTATTTTCGATAATGCTTTCAATCGATAAAAAAAAATAGTGGGAAGATTTATCGGTTTTTGGAGGTAAAATTTTTCGATTACTCTCGATAAAAAGGTTATCGGATGATTTATCGAAATGGTATACACAATACACAATACAAATTTGGAGCAATATTAAAGTCAAATAGACACACCGGAAAGCAATCTGATCGACTTAGAATTAATGGGACCAGATAGGATTTTTCATTTTTACTCAAAAGAAACTCATTAGTCGTAGCTAATTCGTTCAGTCATTCCAATTCGCCCCACTTATAAAATTAACTTGATTATAATTAGGCTCACTTTCATTGACTTGAAAAACAGAAGTCTATATAAGCTGGAATCGTAACCATGTCTGTCATGGATCTGTCCTTGATTTTGATACACCTGTTGTCTCTTGGGACGAGGAGTGTATACGCAGTGTGCTGTAGAAGCACAGAATTTTAATTTTGTGCAGGTGGATCTAGTTCTACGAAATTACCTTGAGCATTCCGCTATTTTTGGAAATGTAAAGTGAACATGTGCGAAGGTTACCATACCCCTAAACCCTCCTGTGGGGTTTATCTGAAAGCGAGGTTAGTCCAGAAAGGTTGACTTCAGGTGGCTAAAAGGCTACTAGATTTATTTAACGCCTCGTGAATATATTGATATCATATATTTGGTTACCTTTATAATTCTATAATTTTATTTTTGTTTAAACCCTGAACCCATTGAAAATGGGAATTCAGGGTATAATGGTTTTGTTAAAAGTATGTAACAGGCAAAAAGAAGCGTGACAGACCCCACAAAGTATATATATTCTTGATCAGGGCGACAAGCTGAGTCGATATAGCCCTGTCCGTCTGTCTGTCCGCCCGTCCGTCCGTATGTATGAATGCGTCGATCTCAGAAGATATAAGAGCTTGAGAGAAATTTTTTTTCCTAGGTCCGTGCATATTCTATAACTACTCCCGATATTTTATTATCGATTAAAAACCTTATCGAAAACTAGTTATTTAATTATATCTCCCACACCTTTAGAGCTAAAGCTTCCAAATTTTAAATGTAGACTTATATGTACTTTATACAATTTCGGCTTTACCCTCCACCCCTATATTCACCCACTCACCCTCACCTTTGTGAAAGGCGTATTTCAAATACTAGAGACTTGTGCTTTGACAAATGAATGCATATATATGTTATAATGTGAAAGTTTTCTGAAGAAAGTCCATCCACAAAAAAGTTATTGAACAATTAAGTTCCCATAGTAAGCCACCACTGAAGCCAATGCGTGTTTATGCGTGCGTGCGTGTGTCTGTGTGTGTGCAAGTACGAATAATTATTGAAATATCAGTTGCTCGAAGCGTTCAGGGGATCTCGTAGCCAAGCAGTCTCGACGAGAGCTTACCTGTTTAGCTGTTTACAAGAATTTCGATTAATTTCTTTCAAGAGTGTCGATATATATTATCGATAAATATTACGTTCAAATGGCTCGCCTCGTAAATTGCTTGTTATTAAAATTAACTTCAATGGATGCAATAAGTATGTATGTATATATAAAGCTACGATGGACCAGATTAGCCAGACCTCATTCGTCCGTCACTCCCATTCGTCTCACTTCTATAACAAACTCGATTATAATTTTAAATTTTAAATTTATAATTTAAATTTTAAATTGAACGACCTGACGTTTTGAAGTCATATCGAGCTGGAATACTAACGATGTCTATATCGTATCTGTCGTTAATCTTGTTTCAACTGTTGTCTCTGTGGACGTGGAGATCAAATGCAGTATGTTGCCCTGCAACCGAACTTTCTTTTCGTATGACCTGTGACGATAAATGTAAAACCATATATCCTGCAATTGAAAGGTCTGGATACTGCAATAAAGATGTGTGTGGAAAAAAACCTCCTCCGCCCTGCTGTATAGATCACAAATGTAGGCAATGTTCTGCAAGCATATGTGGAGGTTTAAACAAGGCTAACCCCTGTTGTGGAACTGGACACTGCAATATTTTCTGCTGCAATTGTTATGGGGATTGTTGGCCTGGAGATCCATATAAGGATTTTTATAAGGTACACGCTGATCGGCTAATCCGCAATTAGCAAATAAATTTAAATAAAAACAAATAAGAAAGCTGTAGTCGAGACTGCTCGACTACGATATGCCCTAAACCATTCGAGCAATTGATATTTTAATAATTCTTTGCGTCTTTCTGCTTACACAAAAAATATACACACTCGTAGACACATATAAGCACGCACGCATAAACACGCATTGAGTGCTGCGTGGGCTTACTATGGGAATTTAATTGTTTAATAACGTTTCTTGTAGATGTACTTTCTTCATGAAACTTTTAGATTGTGATTGTGGTGGGGGCGAATTATAAAAAAATCTAAATTCTATAAAGTACATATGAATTTACATATAAAATTTGGCGACTCTAGCTCTAAAGATGTTGGCTATATAATTAAATCGCTTATTTTCGATAATGCTTTCAATCGATACAAAAAATAGTGGGAAGATTTATCGGTTTTTAGAGGTAAACTCGATATCGGCGCTATATATACGGACTTAAAAAAAAACAAGTAAGAACGTTGCAGTCGGGCGTTACCGACTGCGGAATACTCATTCACATCCCATCAACAATTTAGTAGTTAAGTTTCGCTCTAATACTGTAGAATATACAGGCTTTTCCGATTTGCCACGCCCCTACTGGGCGTAGACACCTCATTTTCGGTCAGTTTCTAGAACGAGATAACAGTACCCTACCTGCAAAGTTTGAATGCTTACTCTCAAAAAAAGTGAAAATTACAGGGTATTTTTCGATAAGCCACGCCCCTAAAGAGGCGTAAAAATTATTTTTTAGGGAATCGATAGAGGAGGCTACCAGTAACTCAACTATCTAAATTTGAAGCTTCTAGCTATTATACTTTAGGAGATATACATTTTTGCGGTTTGCCACGCCCCCTGTGGGCGGACATATATCCGACAAAGCTTTTTGGTCTTGGGTGATCAGCCCGAGTATATATAAAAAATTTGAGATCTCTGGCTTCAATAGTGTCAAAAAAATAGCAGAATTTAAAAAATCACTATATCTTCAGGTCCGATTTGCCACGCCCCTAATGGGTGTAGACTTAAATTTTATTTTTAGAGTTTATAGAATCATAACATTAGCTGACATGCAAAATTTCAGCATTCTAGGTTTACAACTTTAGGAGATACAGTTTTATCCGATTTGCCACGCCCCCAATGGGCGGATATATATCCGCCATAGCTTGTGATCTTGGGTTGTCGACGCGGACCTACATACCAAATTTCAGCTTTCTAGCTCTTCAACTTATATGATTTCTGGTATATCGGAAAATGCATTTTCCGATTTGCCACGCCCCTAGTGGGCGGATCGGGAAAATTTTAACACTTTATAAATCGGAGATATACACGTGTATGTGCTCCAAATTTCAAGTCTCTAGCTTCAATAGCGCCGAAATAGATTGCGTTCATACGGACAGACGGACAGACGGACGGACGGACAGACGGACGGACAGCAAGACGGACATTGCACAAAACCAATATACTGATTCACTTTCGTGAATGAGTATAACAAGTAAGAAGGCTCTAGTCGCAACTGCTCGACTAGGAGATATCCTGAACCCTCTAAGCTTATATTCTACTCATTCTGCACTTATTTTATGCACACATACACATACATACACAAACACGTGCATCCACACGTACGTATAAACACGCGCTCTGCTAACTGCGCAGTAGAGAGAATTTATTAGTTGAATAATTTCTCTTGTGGATAGACTATCTTTATGAAACTTTCAGAGGATAATCATATGGTTGAAAAGTGTGTGCTTCATCATATGTATATACAGGTCTAAAAGTGTTCAACTTAGGCTGAAAAAAAAAACAATATAAATTTTTCGATTACTCTCGATAAAAAGTTATCGAATGATTTATCGAAATGGTATACACAATACACAATACAAATTTGGAGCAATATTAAACTCAAATAGACACACCGGAAAGCAATCTGATCGACTTAGAATTAATGGGACCAGATAGGATTTTTCATTCTTACTCAAAACAAACTCATTAGTCGTAGCTAATTCGTTCCCTCATTCCAATTCGCCCCACTTATAAAATTAACTTGATTATAATTTCGTCACATTTAACCTAGGCTCACTTTCATCGAAAATCAGGAGTCTATATAAGCTGGAATCGTAACTATGTCTGTCATGGATTTCTCGTTGTCTCTTGTGCACGAGGAGTGTATACGCAGTGTGCTGTAGAAGCACAGAATTTTAATTTTGTGCCGGTGGATCTAGTTCTACGAAATTGCCTTGAGCATTCCGCTATTTTTGGAAATGTAAAGTGAACATGTGCGAAGGTTACCATACCCCTAAACCCTCCTGTGGGGTTTATCTGAAAGCGAGGTTAGTCCAGAAAGGTTGACTTCAGGTGGCTAAAAGGCTACTAGATTTATTTAACGCCTCGTGAATATATTGATATCATATATTTGGTTACCTTTATAATTCTATAATTTTATTTTTGTTTAAACCCTGAACCCATTGAAAATGGGAATTCAGGGTATAATGGTTTTGTTAAAAGTATGTAACAGGCAAAAAGAAGCGTGACAGACCCCACAAAGTATATATATTCTTGATCAGGGCGACAAGCTGAGTCGATATAGCCCTGTCCGTCTGTCTGTCCGCCCGTCCGTCCGTATGTATGAATGCGTCGATCTCAGAAGATATAAGAGCTTGAGAGAAATTTTTTTTCCTAGGTCCGTGCATATTCTATAACTACTCCCGATATTTTATTATCGATTAAAAACCTTATCGAAAACTAGTTATTTAATTATATCTCCCACACCTTTAGAGCTAAAGCTTCCAAATTTTAAATGTAGACTTATATGTACTTTATACAATTTCGGCTTTACCCTCCACCCCTATATTCACCCACTCACCCTCACCTTTGTGAAAGGCGTATTTCAAATACTAGAGACTTGTGCTTTGACAAATGAATGCATATATATGTTATAATGTGAAAGTTTTCTGAAGAAAGTCCATCCACAAAAAAGTTATTGAACAATTAAGTTCCCATAGTAAGCCACCACTGAAGCCAATGCGTGTTTATGCGTGCGTGCGTGTGTCTGTGTGTGTGTGCAAGTACGAATAATTATTGAAATATCAGTTGCTCGAAGCGTTCAGGGGATCTCGTAGCCAAGCAGTCTCGACGAGAGCTTACCTGTTTAGCTGTTTACAAGAATTTCGATTAATTTCTTTCAAGAGTGTCGATATATATTATCGATAAATATTACGTTCAAATGGCTCGCCTCGTAAATTGCTTGTTATTAAAATTAACTTCAATGGATGCAATAAGTATGTATGTATATATAAAGCTACGATGGACCAGATTAGCCAGACCTCATTCGTCCGTCACTCCCATTCGTCTCACTTCTATAACAAACTCGATTATAATTTTAAATTTTAAATTTATAATTTAAATTTTAAATTGAACGACCTGACGTTTTGAAGTCATATCGAGCTGGAATACTAACGATGTCTATATCGTATCTGTCGTTAATCTTGTTTCAACTGTTGTCTCTGTGGACGTGGAGATCAAATGCAGTATGTTGCCCTGCAACCGAACTTTCTTTTCGTATGACCTGTGACGATAAATGTAAAACCATATATCCTGCAATTGAAAGGTCTGGATACTGCAATAAAGATGTGTGTGGAAAAAAACCTCCTCCGCCCTGCTGTATAGATCACAAATGTAGGCAATGTTCTGCAAGCATATGTGGAGGTTTAAACAAGGCTAACCCCTGTTGTGGAACTGGACACTGCAATATTTTCTGCTGCAATTGTTATGGGGATTGTTGGCCTGGAGATCCATATAAGGATTTTTATAAGGTACACGCTGATCGGCTAATCCGCAATTAGCAAATAAATTTAAATAAAAACAAATAAGAAAGCTGTAGTCGAGACTGCTCGACTACGATATGCCCTAAACCATTCGAGCAATTGATATTTTAATAATTCTTTGCGTCTTTCTGCTTACACAAAAAATATACACACTCGTAGACACATATAAGCACGCACGCATAAACACGCATTGAGTGCTGCGTGGGCTTACTATGGGAATTTAATTGTTTAATAACGTTTCTTGTAGATGTACTTTCTTCATGAAACTTTTAGATTGTGATTGTGGTGGGGGCGAATTATAAAAAAATCTAAATTCTATAAAGTACATATGAATTTACATATAAAATTTGGCGACTCTAGCTCTAAAGATGTTGGCTATATAATTAAATCGCTTATTTTCGATAATGCTTTCAATCGATACAAAAAATAGTGGGAAGATTTATCGGTTTTTAGAGGTAAACTCGATATCGGCGCTATATATACGGACTTAAAAAAAAACAAGTAAGAACGTTGCAGTCGGGCGTTACCGACTGCGGAATACTCATTCACATCCCATCAACAATTTAGTAGTTAAGTTTCGCTCTAATACTGTAGAATATACAGGCTTTTCCGATTTGCCACGCCCCTACTGGGCGTAGACACCTCATTTTCGGTCAGTTTCTAGAACGAGATAACAGTACCCTACCTGCAAAGTTTGAATGCTTACTCTCAAAAAAAGTGAAAATTACAGGGTATTTTTCGATAAGCCACGCCCCTAAAGAGGCGTAAAAATTATTTTTTAGGGAATCGATAGAGGAGGCTACCAGTAACTCAACTATCTAAATTTGAAGCTTCTAGCTATTATACTTTAGGAGATATACATTTTTGCGGTTTGCCACGCCCCCTGTGGGCGGACATATATCCGACAAAGCTTTTTGGTCTTGGGTGATCAGCCCGAGTATATATAAAAAATTTGAGATCTCTGGCTTCAATAGTGTCAAAAAAATAGCAGAATTTAAAAAATCACTATATCTTCAGGTCCGATTTGCCACGCCCCTAATGGGTGTAGACTTAAATTTTATTTTTAGAGTTTATAGAATCATAACATTAGCTGACATGCAAAATTTCAGCATTCTAGGTTTACAACTTTAGGAGATACAGTTTTATCCGATTTGCCACGCCCCCAATGGGCGGATATATATCCGCCATAGCTTGTGATCTTGGGTTGTCGACGCGGACCTACATACCAAATTTCAGCTTTCTAGCTCTTCAACTTATATGATTTCTGGTATATCGGAAAATGCATTTTCCGATTTGCCACGCCCCTAGTGGGCGGATCGGGAAAATTTTAACACTTTATAAATCGGAGATATACACGTGTATGTGCTCCAAATTTCAAGTCTCTAGCTTCAATAGCGCCGAAATAGATTGCGTTCATACGGACAGACGGACGGACAGCAAGACGGACATTGCACAAAACCAATATACTGATTCACTTTCGTGAATGAGTATAACAAGTAAGAAGGCTCTAGTCGCAACTGCTCGACTAGGAGATATCCTGAACCCTCTAAGCTTATATTCTACTCATTCTGCACTTATTTTATGCACACATACACATACATACACAAACACGTGCATCCACACGTACGTATAAACACGCGCTCTGCTAACTGCGCAGTAGAGAGAATTTATTAGTTGAATAATTTCTCTTGTGGATAGACTATCTTTATGAAACTTTCAGAGGATAATCATATGGTTGAAAAGTGTGTGCTTCATCATATGTATATACAGGTCTAAAAGTGTTCAACTTAGGCTGAAAAAAAAACAATATAAATTTTTCGATTACTCTCGATAAAAAGTTATCGAATGATTTATCGAAATGGTATACACAATACACAATACAAATTTGGAGCAATATTAAACTCAAATAGACACACCGGAAAGCAATCTGATCGACTTAGAATTAATGGGACCAGATAGGATTTTTCATTCTTACTCAAAACAAACTCATTAGTCGTAGCTAATTCGTTCCCTCATTCCAATTCGCCCCACTTATAAAATTAACTTGATTATAATTTCGTCACATTTAACCTAGGCTCACTTTCATCGAAAATCAGGAGTCTATATAAGCTGGAATCGTAACTATGTCTGTCATGGATTTCTCGTTGTCTCTTGTGCACGAGGAGTGTATACGCAGTGTGCTGTAGAAGCACAGAATTTTAATTTTGTGCCGGTGGATCTAGTTCTACGAAATTGCCTTGAGCATTCCGCTATTTTTGGAAATGTAAAGTGAACATGTGCGAAGGTTACCATACCCCTAAACCCTCCTGTGGGGTTTATCTGAAAGCGAGGTTAGTCCAGAAAGGTTGATTTCAGATAGCTAAAAGGCTACTAGATTTATTTAACGCCTTGTGAATATATTGATATCATATGTATATATCATATATGATTGATATATATGTTACCTTTATAATTCTATAATTTATATTGTTTTTTTAATACAAGAATTTCGATTAATTTCTTTCAAGACTGTCGATATATATTATCGATAAATATTACGTTCAAATGGCTCGCCTCGTAAAATTGCTTGTTATTAAAACTTCAATGGATGCAATAAATATGTATGTATATATAAAGCTACGATGGACCAGATTAGCCAGATCTCATTCGTCCGTCACTCCCATTCGTCTCACTTCTATAACAAACTCGATTATAATTTTGTCTCATTTCAGACTAGGTTTAAATTGAACGACCTGACGTTTTGAAGTCATATCGAGCTGGAATAATAACGATGTCTATATCGCACCTGACGTTGATCTTAATACAATTGTTGTCTCTGTGGACGTGGAATGCAAGTGCAATATGCTGTCCTGCAACGACCATAACTTTTCGTTTAAATTGTGACGATCTTTGTAAATCCTTGTATCCTGCAACGGAAAAGGGTGGGTATTGCGCTACAGATGCGTGTGGAAGTGCTAAGCCTCCGCCCTGCTGTATAGATAACAAATGTAGGCAATGTTCTGCAAGCGTATGTGGAGGTTTAAACAAAGCTCAGCCCTGTTGTGGAACGGGAACTTGCAATATATTCTGCTGCAAATGTAATCGGGGCTGTTGGCCTGGAAATCCTTTTGACGATTTTTATGTGACACATGCTGATGTCTTGTTCCTCAATTAGCAAATCAAATTAAATCAAATTCCTCAGTAATCGGGAGGCTGTTTATCTAACGAAGATGAATCTTAGAAATCTGGAGCAATATTAAACTCAAAAGGACACACCTGAAAGCAATCTGATCGACTTTGCATTTAATAGTACCAGATAGGATTTTTTGTTCTTACTCATTATCAAAACAACTCATTAGCCACAACTAACTCGTTCAGTCATTCCTATTCGCTCCACTTATAAAATAAACTTGATTATAATTTCGTCACATTTAACCTAGGCTCACTTTCATCGACTTGAAAACCAGAGGTCTTTATAAGCTGGAATCGTAATCATGTCAGTCGTAAATCTGTCGTTGATTTTGATACACCTGTTGTCTCTTGGGACGAAGAGTGCATACGCAGAATGCTGTATGAGCACAGAATTTTTCTTTCATTCAAATGGAGTTAGTTGTACAAATCTGCCTCCAGCATTCGACTATATTTGGAAATGTAAAGTGGACACATGCGGTGGTTTACATAACCCTGCGCCCTGCTGTGGAATTGGACTTTGCAATATTTTCTGCTGCAATTGTTATCTCGGCTGCTGGCCTGGAAATCCTGTGAAACAATTTTATGAAAAATATGAGGCTTATATATATGACGAAATAAAAAGTTCTTCGTAATGGGGAGACTGTTTATCTGAAACAAGTTTGACTTGAGATGGCTAAAAGGCTACTAGTTTTATTTAACGCTTTGTGAATATATCGATATCAAATATTTGGTTACTTTTGTAATTCTATAATTTATATAATTTATTTAATACGAGAGCTTCGATTAATTTCTTTCAAGACTATAGATGAATATTACATCCAAATTGCTCGCCTCACGAAATTGCATGTTATTAAAATCAACCTGAATGGATGCAATAAATAAATATGTATATATAAAGCTACGATGGACCAGATTAGTCAGACCTCATTCGTTCAGTCATTCCCATTTTCCACACTTATAAAATAAACGATATTATAATTTCGTTACAGTTTTAGCCCAGGCTCACTTTTAACGACTGCGCAATTGATAGTTGCGTTGAGTTGGAATACTAACGATGTCTATAGCTCATCTGTCGTTGATCTTGATACAAATGTTGTCTCTGTGGACGTGGAGTACAAATGCGATATGCTGTAACTCAATTCAGGTTCACTTTTCTGTAAACCCCAACGATAAGTGTGAACGATACTACCCAGCATATCTAAGGGAAGGCAGATGTGTCGCAAAGTTGTGTGGTGGTCCACGTAAGGCAGGGCGTTGCTGCGGACAAGGTCCATGCAATATGTTCTGCTGTCAGTGTGCTCTAAAGTGTTGGAGTGGAATTGAATCCGCTGTCAAGCTTTTTTATGCGAAGTACTCCAATTTGAAAGAATAACTAATAAAAGCGTCTTTGTACCCATAAAGGAAGAGGTCAAGAAAGGTACCGAATCGTCGATGGGAGACAGGTAGAAATCCGCCGAAGGTTAAAAAAAACTTGGTTTTATTTGTTAATTTTTTTTTTAAGACTGTTCTATTTTTAATTTTCGAATAGTTGTTCATCCTTTCTCTTTTTGTTTGCCATCTTAGCAAATTCTTGCATAAATCAAATCAAATCATTATGTTGGAAACCAGTTGCCCATCGAATGGAACGAACGACAAGCTCAATGCGAAACATAGGGAGCTGCGCTGATAGTTGAAATACAATTTATGGTCTATGTGTATTCGCATTTAAACGGAGCTGATAGCAATAAGCACTGCAAACGAAAACATTTAAGCCATTCAAGCGAAATTATCAAATTAATTAGCATACCGATAGGATAGCCTGTGGAGCTGGTTTCTTTCGGTATTAGATCATATGTTCAATTTCCATAAAGACTCGTTAATAGTTTGTCAACTAAGACCAAAAATAAAAGCAAACGGTGGATGTTATTTATTTCCTGTTTGCATTAGGTTTCACTTTCACGCAGATACATATAATATATATGTATGTGGGCGAAGGCGCGCGGGCAGATTCTTCACACCTTGTCGCTCAGAAACAATGGCTGCCATTGTGATTGTGAGTGCTATAAATCAGCGGCAGCATCGCCATTGGGGGTACTGTGCCACAACGAATCACCACATCAGCTTGTTTGGCTTCAATTACTCACGCGAATTATCAAATGAGCAAAAGGTTCAATAAATCAACACGCAATATGCAAAGAATTTTTGATATACCATCACGATCCGCCTTCATATAGTGGGTGTTCGATCTCGAGCACAGCTCAAAAACTGGACAGACGACGTCCACATTGAAGCTGAATGAATCGGTTTATGGTGGGTGTTTTGTTCGAGTATAAAAAAAAAAAAAAGTATATAAATAACAACAAATCTTGCAGTCGGACGCCACAGACTACACAATACTCAATATCGGTCCAAAAACAGTTTGACTGCAATTTTTCCGCTTTGCCTCGATTGACGAGGCTAGCAGGCTAACTATTAACTGGTAATTATATGTCATTTCTTTTCGATCTTATACTGTCGACTGGAGTATATAAATATTTTAATAATCAGGTCGGCGGACGGACGAACAGCAGGACGGACATGGTACAAAGCCAATAAACTCACTTAGCTTCGTAAATGAGTAATATAAAAATAAAAAAAATTCAGTGATATTCGATGAGGCATTATTACGCTGTCGTGGCCCTCGAATTGAGCTCGTAATTAGATCTTGAGGTGGAGTTTCCCCGCCAAACACTAAAGGTCAAGCTTACGTTTTATGCTCTTAACGTTGCGATCATATTTAACACTTAAAATTTGTAATCCCAAGACATTTTTGTAAGAGTCCCAGTCTCTAGTTCACATACCAGGGGCTTACTTTTGTCCGATTTACATATCGTATTTCCAGCTATTTCTCTATATGGAAATACCTTTTATAGCCCCGAAAACCGAGTTCAATATCGTTCACAATACTTGATATGAGGAAGTTCCCATTCTAAGTTTCGATTCTGCTGCTTAGTTTTTGGCCTATCCACATCTATTAAAAGTCAAATTTTTCATTATGACTTGAGATCGAAATCGATTAACTTGACTTCCTTCGGACGACGAAATTATATTTATACATTTCGAAGGTTAGGTAAACATTAATCACTATCTTGGAAACATTGCGCAAGAGTAGATAAAAAAAAATATATATAATAATTTTCTAATTATTTGATGGAGCTCTAAATAAATAGCAGGATAATTTACAAAGAGAAATCGAGTTATACAGTTACACGCATATACACATGGAGTAATATCAGTTGGCAAACATGGCTAAGATAATGGCTTAAGTAATTGCTTAATAGATGAAGGCCGTGGCTGGCGGATCATAGTGGTATCCATCGTCGCTATGTGGCTCCACGATTTCCTGTGGTGGCAGGTAGACGTTGTTCGGTTCGAGTGGTGCGGCATACGAGGGAATGGGTATCTTGTAGGTTGGCTCCACTGGGGTGGGTGGCAAATAGCTGGTCTCTGGCTGCAGCGCTTCATGCACCTGTGGTGCGGGCGGCAAATACTCTGGCTTGGGTGGTGCGGGTGGCAGATAGGTGGACTTGGGCTGCGCAGGTGGCAGATAGGTGGGCTTTGGCACTTCCGGCTGCTTGACGGGCAGGTAAATGGGTGCAGGTGTAGGCAGCTCGAATGGAATACTCGGCGGCTCGTAGTTATAGCCGGGATGTGCTTGCTCATCGTGTTGGTGGTGCTCATGGTGATCGTGGTCAAGCAGGTGGGACACATCGGCGGCAACCAGCGCCACGAACAAAGCTAGCACAAGTAATTTCTAATTGCCAGAAAGAGATTGACTTAAGCGGACAAATCAATGCAAAAATTTTGTGTATAAAAACAAACCATTTTGATCGGATCGCTGTTCTGGGCTGGCGGTACGACGTTCTCGATGCGTTGTTAGCTCTGAAATGATTTAGTTTCCGGCAAGTGCTTCTTTATTTATACATTGAACGAGAACCGCGCTACCAATAGAGCAGTCAACGTCTACGTCTCCGTCTCCCTCTCTCACTCCATCTCTGTCTTGGTGTTGCTCAGTGCCTCGGCCTGACGGTGCGTTGATCGCTGTCAGCAGCGAAGCTAAGCTTCGACTCGGCGCCCCCCCTTTAACGGCATTCGCATATAAATTCTATTAATTCTCTTTTAATTTCCAATCGCCTTATGTCCCGAGCTTTGTTGTCGCTCTGCATGAAGCGGACATTAAATCTGCACTTAATTATAAGCCTGAGGAATGGATGCGGACATGTGTATTAACTTAGGTGTTACAGATACAAATACCCTAACATTGGGGCATTTCTAATGAACTGTATAACAGTTTGAAGGAAAAAAAAACAACAATAAAAATCAATAATAATAAGTAGTAAATAATATTAATAATAATAATGGTGAGTGTAGAATTTTATTTAATAAATATGTATTTAAATTTTTGTTTTTTAATTTTTTTATTATTATTTATTTTATTTTATTTATTTTTTTTCATTATTTATTTATTATTTTATTATTTTTGAATGAAGATACAATTCAGATTATTCAGATAATATATATATATATTTTTTTTTCAAATATTATTATTTTTTTTTTATTTTTTATTTTATTTATTTATTTTTTGGTATCTCAGTTTTTTTTATTTTTTTTTTATTTGTATTTTTTTGATATTTTAATTATTTACTTATTTAATCGTGTTACTGTTTATTGATATCAAATGAATCTTTTTTTTTCTTATATGCTTGTCATGGTTTCATTTCCGTTTTTATTTATTATTTAATATGTATTTGCTTATTAAGGTATTTATTTATTTATTTTCTTTTTTTGTTTGCTAGAGTACTAAATATTCGGCACTTTAATTATAACGGTGGGTTTTTTGTTTCTAATCGCCGACAGCTATAAACGCCTCCCATTTGAAATGAGTATTTAAAATAGATTTTGTTCGGCTTTGCAGAGATTTGTTTTTATTGATTTATTTTTGTGTTTTACGAGCTTCACTAGTTTTGGCCAAGATTGCGAGGCAAGACAATGGATTGGCCTCACTCGATCGATTGGCCGATCATCTCGGGACTGAAAGAGGTCAACTAATTCGGCTGCCGGCTGCAATTGGCAATTAGCGATTTTGTTTAATGTTATCTTTTTGTTTCTTTTTTTTCTTCTTTGTCTTCGTCGTTTACTTTGTAACAGACACCACACGGGGGCATCAATATGAATTCCCACAGCAACCGCAACGACAGCCCGACATCATTATTCATTTTCAAACCTATCTAAGCCACGATCATTATAGAGCCGATCAATAGCTGCAAGTGTTGAAGCTCAGATGCAGATGCTACGCGTAGCGCGTGCTTTGGCTCTCGAAAATGGACTGCGACAGCGTTTGATTAGATGCTTTTGTTTTTGTTTTGTTTTTTCGTATTCGGATGTGGCCCTTACATACACATCTACATCGATATCGACTACTACAGCGACTACTGCATACGTATTGAATGCTGACCTTAGACAATAGCCAATTAGCCATAATGGCTTTCGCTTATGAATGCCTCTGATGAAAGATCATTTGCAGCTGAACAAAGCTTGATGAAATTCATGACATGATTTGCATGGAATTGGAGCAGATTAGCAATGCAACTACAATATATATAGCGACGTCTTAGCACCGTCGTAAAGGTTTCGAA